TCGTGAGTGACTACAACAAAAGGTTTTTGTATCATTGAATAGATGGCGGGACATGCGCATCAAGAAGAGCGGTAGTTGCGAGGATACATAAATGGCACATGGAAGATAAGGAAGGCACCTGTGTGTGATAAAGAAAAAATTTAGATTAGTTCCACCCTTTCACCGCTACTTGACGTTAGCGTTTCGATGCCCATGAATCAATCTAATTTTACAAAAAAAATCAATTAAGATGATTTATGATTAATTTTACTTACTTTTAGATTCTTATTGTAAATATATATTCCTACTAATTCGTTGCCATAATTTATAGAAACTATGATATATAACAATACTATTATCTTCTATTATTTTCTATAATCTCTCATCTTCACTAAAATAAGTAATAGCAAATAAATATATTCTATATAATTATTGAACTTCCTATCCCAACCAACATGAACGAATTATCTTTTCAAAGACGATTAATCCATCATTTCTTATTTTCTTCATGTTTTTCATTTTAGATTATGGCTAAGCGACGAACTAGGTGGAAGGACATTGTTGTTGACTGGAGTTAGTTTTGCTTCCTGGGTATTAGGTAGCGACGTAGTAGTAGCCCAAACTGCCCAGACTTTGGCAGTCTGGTACAACGTTGATGCACCTGAAGTAGCCACTCTAATTCCTGTTCGTGGTGATGCTGTGGATATTGTTAGAGAGGATGGGAGAACTTCTGTTACGGTGGAGGAACTTGGAGGCAAAGTGGCCTACCTGCTTGATGAACCATTAATAGAATTTGGCACAGCACTGCATGACAATGATTTTGGCAGAGCTTTGTTGTTCCTAGAGGATCTGGCAGACAGACCTCAAGCAGAGGCTATGTGGGAAAATGTAGCCAGGAATGCAATGGCTTCTAGACAATTACTGGTGGCTGCCAGATGCTACGCTGCTCTTGGAGATGTAGCTTGCTCAAGGTTTATCTCTGTTATTTTTTCTTATTTCTTCATTATTTCTTTATCTTCTTGACAATTATAATATAATTAGTGACTATCTATTGCTTCTTCAGATTCTTGAAAAATATAATAGAAATCGGCGAAAAGTACCGTACAGAGACTGGGCACGATCCACTTTCTAGTCCTGACTGTTGGGCAAAGCTTGCAATTCTAAATGGCGAATTAAAGACTGCAGAAGCCATTTACTTGGAACAAAATGAATTGGACCAGGCTCTGGACATGTATCAGAGATACTGGCACTGGGAGGATGCGTTGATTTTAGCACAAAATAGAGGTTGGCCTGGTCTCCAAGAGCTTAGAGACAGGCATTTAACCTGGCTACTTGAAAGTGGTCAAGCGGCCAGAGCTGCTGCCATTTTGGAATCCACTAATCCTCGACGTGCAGTGAAGCTATACCTAAATGCTCGCCGACCTGGTCGAGCAGCCAGACTTGTTCTGGCTAATGAAGAACTGCTGGAAGATAGATCTATTGTCAATGAAACCGTGAAAGTGTTAAAAGCGACAGATCTAATGGAACTAGCCGGAGAGTTGTTGGAGAGGACTTCAGAGCCTCTGGAAGCTATCAAATGCTACTCCCAAGCTGGAGTATTCGCGAGAGCACTGGAATTGGCTAGAAAAGTGGATCCAACTTCGGTAGTTGATCTTGAACGAGAATGGGGCAAGCATTTGGTTTCAGCTGGTCACTATGATGCAGCTATTAATCATTTCATAGAGGCAGGAGAAACTGCTTTGGCACTGGATGCAGCCATCAATGCACGACAATGGAGGAAAGGCCTACAAATTATGCAGGTAAATATTCCTTCGTGTTCTCCCATTTATCCATTGATTAATACATACTACAAATCTGATAATATCGGATATGAATAATTTGATTAAAAATTTCCTTCATAGGTGATCGAAGACGATGATCCCACGGTAAGGAAGCAATGTGAGAAACTGGCCGAGTATTTCGCTTCTATAGGCGAGAAGAACTTAGCAGAGAGACTGTTCATTCGTTCTGGGGACGCCAAACGTGCGATTGATGTTCACATACAAAATGGAAACTGGAGCCGTGCTCACGAAATAGCCCAGGAGTACATGACTTCTGATGAAGCGAACGAAGTCTTGGCGAAACATGCAACGATCCTTTGCGAAGCGGGAGATCTGAAACATGCAGAAGAACTGTATCTTGCTATTGGCAAGTACGATTCAGCCATAGCAATGTACAGAAAGGCTGGTCGTCGTACAGACATGATTAGATTGGTGGCAAAGTACAGACCAGATCTTTTGGAGACCACTCACGCACATTTGGCCGGAGAATTAAACGAGGCTGGAAAGCCTCATGAAGCTGAGGAACATTATGTTGCAGCTGGAGACTGGAGAGGAGCGGTGACTGCTTACAGGGCAGCCAATATATGGGAGGATGCTCTTCGCGTGGCGAAACAACACGCTGGAGATAACGCAGCCCAACAGGTCTCGATCACTACGTTTGTTTGTTTATGGAAAATACAGAAAATTTTAGTTGAAATTAATTTTTTTCACTTCATTGTAGGTGGCTTTAATATGGGCACGTACACTGGCACCAGAATTAGCAGCAAGACTGTTGATGCGACTGAATTATTTAGATGGTTGTTTGCAGTTAGCTTGCGAGGCTGATCTATTCGACTGGGCTCTAGAAATTGCCAAATATGGGAGTGCCGACCAAAAGAAAGAAGTTCACTATAGACATGCCATGGCACTGGAAGATGCAGGCCATTTCTCCGAGGCCGAGAAAGAATTTATCAAAGCTGGAAGAACAATGGAGGCTGTTCAAATGTACATTCACACTCGAGACTGGGAGGCTGCTGAAGATGTAGCCCAATCCATTAACCAAGATGCAGTTGCTCAAGTCCTCATTGCCAGGGCTGGAGAAGCAGCTGAAGCACAAGACTATTCTTTGGCTGAGACTCTGCTACTGAGAGCCCACAAGCCAGAAATGATTATCGAGCACTATAAGGTGATTATTTTAACACACACAATATATGTTATTGTTTTAATTAAACAATACAGTTTTAATGTTGCAGAGTTTCTAAGTGTTATTAATGTTACAGAAAGCTGGAATGTGGTCTGAGGCATTACGCGTTTGCAGAGAATATTTGCCTAGTCAAGAAGCGAATCTCAGGCGTGAACTGGGTCAAAAGAGCACCTCCTTTGCCGGTACAAACGCGTTCGAGGAAGCCAGAAAGTGGTTGGAGGTTGGCGAAGTGCAAGCTGCTCTGGATATTTTAATTCTGGACCCTCAAGCGCCCAGGTCATCTCTTATCAAGGCTGCCGACATTCTGCTTCATCAGGCTGATCCAGAAACTGCCGCCCAAGTCGGTGGAGACCTTGGTTCACGATTGTTTGCCATTGAAGAATATGCTGTTGCTGCTCAGGTTGTCATTCTATCGTCGAATATCCGACATGTAAATAGATAACACAATTTTATGCACTTTTCTTCATTTCTTCTGTTTTCTTCAGGTATTTTTACAGGCAGACAGATTGAAAGATGCTATTGATGCATTGGCTGCAGTTGGAGAATGGGAGAAAGCTAAAAGAATTGTGAATGAACTAGCACCGGATATAGAGCCTTACTTGGAAGAAAAATATAAAGAAGCAATGCTGAAGGATGGACAAATAGATAGACTTGTGGAAATAGACGCAGACGCTGGCCTTGAAATATTGGCCAATAAAGGTCAATGGAACCAAGTGTTTGAAACCGCTAGCGCTCAAGGGACTCAGGTTTTACACAAATATGTGACACAAAGGGCGGTGCAACTTCTGAGAGGAAATACTCCGCTGGAAGCTTTGCAGTTATATGTCAGATACGGAGCTCCTCCCATCCAGCAAAATTTCAACCTCTACTTACAATTGTCAGAAAGCATTCTGAACTCGGAGGTAAGAATAACAAGTTGATATAGAGAAATAATGAAATTATAAATTAAAGTACACATCTTAAGTCTTAAAGGTCATTCCTGAATTGATATGTAACACGTGAAAAATAATATTATTATTGCTGTGGGGGTCTTCCAGGCTTATTACGAATACAGATACTTAGCTCACTTGAGAACTGTACTCTTGGACCTTTGGAAAGGTTTAAAATCGTCAGAATCCGATGCAAGATCGAAATTCGAGAGATTACTCGAAGCTACACATTATTCAACAGTGAAATGCGGTTGTCGCGATTATTCTGTACTTTCTGGATTAGTCTTGAAAGCCTCCATTACTTTACTGAGGTACACAAACATCCTTCATGCTGACCGAGCTTACTATGAAGCTGGAACTGAAGCACGCGCAGCAGGAAGAAACAGCGAGGCTTTTGTTTTTCTGAATCACTTTCTTGATTTGGAGGAATGCATTGAAGAAGGTGATAATACTGTGATGGATGTTGAAGATTTGGCTGTAACAGACTTTCCTGTGGAGGTTCCTCTGCCAGAGACGTTGAGTTTAACAGCAGAACAGAGAGAGGAGGCTCGTGAATGGGTTCTTGCCATGTCTATGGATCAGAAAGTGGAGCAAGTTCTGCCTACGGATCATAGAGGAGTCTATGTAGGATCATTGACTGCCTCTGTTGGTTCTGGATATCTTCAAGGTTGCATTTTGACTGGATATCCTATTCGAGGTTCAATAATTAGATTTGCAGAGGTATTTTAAACATTATCAATGAATTTTTAATCAATGAATTCTTATTTAATTTTCTTCAGAATATAATGATTAATCGCTTTCTATTAAGGGTCAGCATGTAGCAGACCGCGATGACTGGACAAAATTAATCAACACTGCACGTCAGGCTCCTCAGGATTCAAATCTTAATGACATTTTAGCTTTCATTCAAGAGTGGTTTGGAGCAGCTCCGAATTATTCTTTTTAAAGATACTAATTACAGTTTCTTGTAACATTAATTGAAAAACCAAACTAGAGAGGCATAAATACAATAATATAAGTATAAATAAAATTAAATAATTATCAGTGAAATTAACATAAATAAAATATAACATGTTTGACAAGCAGTAGTGGTCTTTTTAATAACAGGTAACGCAGAAAGAAAACGATCTCGTTTCTCTAGAATTTATTTAAATAAGGCTGCATTATGTAAATAATTAGTCTAACTTAAGCATAAATAGTTTCTATGCAATGTGAATATACATGCAACATGTGTCCACGAGATTTCTCATGTCCTATCATTAAAGTTTCTATGTATAACGACTGATCCTAGCGAGTTATCAGGATAGCTATTACTCGTTGTCTGAACCTATCCACGATGGATACTATTCAGTTTATACTATTCAGTGATGACTATGCGCATATTGCATTTTTATACACAAACTATGTATTTCGAAAATAGTAGTACAAGCTAGAAATGAGAAACTTTGCAGTAAATAAATTACACAAGATTCTTTTTCAAATTTCCCTTAACATTATGTTCTTTTTATGTAATTTTGATTTTTTTTTAAATATATTATTATTCTTATCATTATTATTATGTTGAGTATAAGTTAAACACACAAAAGATAAAAAAGAGAA